TCCCGCCCCAGACCTGCTGCATTAGAATGTGCATTTTAACAAGAGGTCCAGGTGATTCATATGCGCATTAAAGTCTGAGGAACTCTGGTCTAAAGCACCATAAACATCAGGCACGGCATGAAGGAGGAGACAGCAACTGCTGAACTACCATTTCTCAGGTGTGCAAAGGAACTCAGGAGACAGCTTCAGAACCCAGGCAGTTCCTGGCTCTGCCGGGCACTTGCTCCCACTGTTCATTTAGAGAAGAGGGGTGGGATCCTGCCAGCACTGAACTGTCACAAGAAGAGAAAGAAATTTAAAAAAAGACTGACACAGCAGTGAAATGTCCTGTCATGTGGGCTCTCATGTAGCTCCCTGTTTCCATCTAGCATCGGCACTGTGGCTACACAGCAGCACCTACCTCTCAAAGTCAGAGAGGCAGGGATGTGTAGACCAGGACAGCCTTGGGCAGAATGGGGCAGCTGGAGCAAAACCTCTGGCCAAAGCCGCTGATGCACTCTTGGTTGTCTTCTTAGAACCCCATCTCCATGTCTTTAGCCCCGGACCCAATCTAGCAAAATAAAAACAGGGTCCTATTTTATGGAACAAAGGGCTATGAACATGGACCCACATTATTGCTGACAATCTCAAATCTCAATATTGGGTTAAATATCAATGTCTTTCTCTCTCTTTCTGGAGGATCAAATGCAGACAATATTTGGTTATCAAAACAAAAGGAACAGAATCAGAGCTGTTCCTTTATGAAACCACTCATCCTCCAAACATAAGACCGTGTTTCAAGAAAGCTGCTCTCATTAATATTAATTACCAAGAGGCTTGGAGAGAACGGAACCCGAGTGGAAAGGGCATAAACTTGCAAAGATATTTACAATTTGAAAAATAAATTTTAGGGAAAAAAAACGTGCAAAACTCTAATACCATGTAGTAAACTTTGAAAGCTTTACTAAATGGATAATTTTCTAGAAAAATACAAAAGGCAGGAAACCCAGGGAAAGAAGCAGAGTTGATAAGTGGCTAACCTGCAGTAGGATGGTATTTTGGTTGATATCCATCATTTTTGGTCAGACACTATCATGTTCTGATTGGTTCTGAATCAGAACCTGGCACAGTAGTCGGGAAATCTTTGAAAGATCATTCCTGCCAATATCCATAAAAGCAATGGAGAAAATAGTCAAAAACAACCCCCATGTGAGGCCCATAGTCCATATGGTTCTTGAGTCAGATCTCTCAAATCAAAGAATTAGTAACTCTCATGCTGTTTAAAAACTATTCAGTAACAGAGGAAAAAATGGAAAGATTCTCCATTTTACTAAAAAAACAAGCACACCTGTGATGTAGTAACCTGAGGAAGACAGCACAAAGAAGAAAACCTCACACACCAGTCTTACTTGATGAACATAGATGCGAAAAGCCTGGGGTAAATGTCAGTATGTCTGGGTGTGTGTGTGATTTTCTCAGCAGCAGATCACATGTGGGCATGGAGAGGGCAGCCAGCTCATTCTTCCAGAGGTGGGGTTTGATAGAAAACTGGGACAGGACAGCTGGGCAAGCAGAGTGGCTGAAGGGATGAGGTCAGAGGAAGAAATAAAGAAGAGAGGGACTGAGAGATGGGGACTTAGTGAAGGGAAAGGTCACTAACTCTGCCTGCAAGGAGTGATGGAACTGGGACACCATCAAACTATGAGCCAATCAAGAACAGAGGTGGAGACAGAAATGTGAGCAGCTGAAGAGGGGAAGGATATAGGGGAACTGCTTTACCACAGAAGGAAAGGAATACTCCAGATACATCTGGAGAGGAAAGAAGGCAATGGAAGGTTGGGTTGGAGAGAGCAGGAGGCAGATGACTAGAAGGCTGACATCTTGGGCAGGGACCAGGTATAGGCACAGCCGGTACACATGATAAATTATTCAACCTCAGTAAACAAAGAAATGTAAACTAAGACAAGTGATACCATTTTGCACGTATCAATCGGCAAAGTTAACTAGTAAAGAAAATACTCTGATGAAAAGGATGTGTGTACAGAAACTGAGCTCCAAGATCTTTGCCCTCTGGGATTAAAAATAAAATACAACGCAAAAGTACATAAATAAGTAGTTGGTTGAACTGTGGCAATCCCTTGAAACAGGCTATTACTCAGCTCTTAAAAATAAGCAGAAATAGATTTATTGATGTTGATTTACTGCTGCATCAGAGGTTTCTAAAACTGTAATTTTAGTATCCACATATTCGCACAAGTATAGGATTACGAGTGACTTTTATCTTCTATTTCCTTACATCTATTTGCAGTATTTTTCTACAATTAATATTTATAACACGATAACATAACCCCAAAATCCTATTGCTTTCCTGTTTCAACGCTTCAAATGCTCCCACGGGCTTCAAGCTCTAGACCAAATTCCTCAGCATTCCAAGGCCTTTCGTGTAGGGTCCTGGCCTCTCTCCACACCCCATTTCCAAATCTCACTCAGAAAGTTCCCCGAGGACCCACCCTTTTTTATACCTCAGTTCCCTCTGCTCAGCGGGTCTCCGCCCACCACCCCCACGGCCCAGCAGCAAGATACCCCAGTGTGGCCCAAGAGGCCAGGCGCCCACCCGGCCCCGCCTGGAGCAGCAGGGGCAGGACGCCGGCTGGCGCACTGGGTCCCGTAGGGAGGGGGCGTGCACAAAGACTTCGGTGCCCAGATTCACCGCGTGACCGCCCCGGAAGCCTGCGCGCGGGGAAAGAAGGGGAGCCCGCGAGCCGCGAGGAGGGGCCGAGCCGCAGAGTCGGAACGGCTGAGGAGCTTCTAGGCTCCGGGCCTGGGTCCCTCGGGGCTCCCTCCAAGGCCGAACACGGTGGATGCTCCCGGCGGATCTGCCTTCGCCTCACCTTAGCGCTGCTTACGAATCGGACTTCCACGGCCACAGGAGCCCGACCCGACACGCCCACGCAGAAGGAGAACACGTCGCACATGGAGGCCGCCATCTTGGGCGCGCCTCCGCCGTCTGACCTTTGACCTCGCCCCGACCCTGGAGGCCCCGCCCCTTCCTGGCCCCGCCCCTGGCGTGTGTGTCTCAGCGGCTGCTAGGGTTTGAGCGCTGGCAAATCAGAATTAGGATCCCTTTAATCTCTGTGTTTAGGTCGATTGGTTCGACGGCTGGATGTAGCTGGGTCCGCTTTTTTGTTTTGCGTCTGTGTCTTAGTACGTACCTGTGTATCATAGTCTGTGGATGTGTGTATAGTTTTGATGTATCTGTGTCCAGTTCGTGTTTTGGTACCTGTTGTCTCTCTCCACCCAGTGTCCCGTCTAGAGTCAAGCGCTCTTTGGAACTGGCCGTGGGGCGGGACAGCAGCCGTCTGACTTCTACCCTCCCTGACTTTCTACATGAAAGGAAGGACTAGCTTACCCTTCCGCCCCATCTACAAAATTGGGCGCAAGAATTCCCTTCTCCTTGGGCCTTCTGTCAGCGGGACAGACAGCCCCACGACAGATCAAGCTGGACTTGTGCTTTTCTCAGACCCTTCAGGGGTTTAAGGGACTTTGCAGCCTAGGGGTGGTAGAAGGGGGTAGATGGTAGAGCTCAGGTTTGAGGACCCCTAAAATGGTATGCAGAAGTGAGTGTATGTATACATATTTTCCTGGGAACAGAAGGCCCTGTTATCATTCAGGACCCCAAAATGCTGAAACCACTGATTGACAGCATCTGTCCCCGCGGCCAAGCCTGACAACCATGCCTTGTTTCCTTGTCCTCCAATTGATTCTGTGCTCCCTGAAAAAGGACGCATCTGCTTCTGATATGGTCTCGTGGTCACACTGGGGGATTGGGTAGGGCCCAGTAACTGCTGAGTAGATTAACTGTTGATTTTTTTCTTTTCAACTATTTTTAAAAGGTGAGTCAATTGAAGGGGCAGGTACTGGAAGAGGTAGATGCAGCTGGTGTCCTTTGATTAACAGAGTTGACTTTGGGTCCAGCATTAGGAAGGTTTTCCCTGAAGACAGAGAGAGAGAAGGGTTCTTGAAGCTGGATCCTGGCCTCAAGCCTGTGGCCTAGTGTCTAGGAGATGATGGTCTACCATCACTTGGAGGTCTGTGAGGTTTTTCACCTCTGCTCTCTGCCCTTCCTTTCTCCCTCAGGTAGCTGCAGACAGCAGTGGGGACTGTGCCTTCTCTCACCAGCAGGTGGCAGGGCAGGCCTAGTTCACCAGCTCCCCTCTACCCAGAAGCCATTGGAGATTCTAAATCCATACTCTCAACAGAGGCCTGCCCAGGAGCTTAGAACACTAGAGAAATGAGCTCTGGAATTGCTGGTGACTGGCCTCACAAGGGTAGGCTATCAGTAGGCTTCTTAGAAACTGAGCAGATTCCTGGGAATGAAAGGGAACCATGAGTTAGGGTCTTGAAAGAGAGAAATTATAACTGTCTCATGGAAATACAGCAGAGTTTGTGAAAAAATGCCTGCCTTAGCAAAGGCAGAGCCACATTTATCTATGTAATGATGGAAAGGGGTCAAGGTGGGTAGCTAGAGGGGAAAAAAATGGGGTCAGGGTCGCATGTCTGTGCCTCAGCAGACAGCTGGGGCTGAGCTCCTGAAAGTGGGAACAGTTCAGACAAAACAAGAAAACTTTGGGAAACTCTGAAGCAGGCTAAATGGCTTACCTTTCCTTCCTCTTTGCTTCATCTCTACCATCTCTGGTGGGGAAGAGGCTTTTAGGCCCAAATACTGATTCAAGGAAGCCCCTTCTCCACAGCCAAACCAGGAAAAGATTAATCCCTGGAGGGGCCAGTGCTGGTGCAAGCACCACACCCCCAGGTGAAGGGAACCTATAAACCTTAAGAGTTGCTAAACACTTAGCACTGGGCCTGGCACCCTCTAACAGCTTTACAGACATCCTGTCAGCTCTGGGAGGAGTAAGTCGTCAATGCACCCATTATACAGATGAAGGAAAAAGACTCAGGAGTTCGAGTGGGTACCCCCAGGAAGAACCCAGACAGCTTGGGTTGAGCCTCTGTCCCAGTCCTCAGCTGTCCACTCCTGATTTGGTGTCTTCTCGCTGGATGCTGGTGTCAGAGCTGCTGGAGGGCTCATCCTGGGCAGCAGCCATGGCAGACACAGCTGGTAGCTTTAGCCTTTGCTGTTTCTGGTACTTGACCCTGCGGTTTTGGAACCAGACCCTCACCTATAATTGGAGGCAATGGTCAGAAATTAGAATGTGACCAGCAGTTCCCACTGCTTTCCCCATTCCCACAGTACCCACTGCTCTCTGGCCCACATTTGATCTTCCTTCTGAGGGAGGCATCTCCTTCAAAACATCCTTCCCGTAATTCCAGACACCATTCGTCCACCCAACAAATATTTATAGAGCTCCTAGGCTGTACTAGGCACCATCCTAGGTGATGGTGATAGAGTGGTGAGCAAGAGAGGTCTGGTTCCTGACCTCATGGAGCCTCTAGAGAGAAAGAGCGAGAAATATGGAAACAAAGAAAGCCATAAACACAAATGGGAGTATGAACAGGGGTCTGAGCCTCCCTGAAGAACCAGCACTTCAGCTAAGGCTCACAGGATCAGAATTCTCATCAGTTTGATGAGAACAGAGAAAAGCAGGCCATGTCAGGGGACAACCTATAGGAACTCTGCGGTAGAATCAAGCTTGGTGTGTTTGAGGACCAAAAAGGAGGAGAGTTGGCTGAAATATCTGAGAGTGGGATGGGGAAGTGAAGGAAGGGAAAATGGGCAAGGTCAGCAGGGGTCAGATCACCCAGGACTATGGAGGCTATGGGTAAGGAGTGTCAGCTTCGAGGCTATTGAGTGGGATGTGACATAGTCCTGTTTGCATCTCAAGTGAATTGCACATCTGGCTGCTTTGTGAAGAATGGGTGAAAGGAGATGCAGAGAAACAGCAGTGGGGCGGGTGGGGGGTGGTGTTACTGCAATGATCCAGAAAGAGCTGGGACATGTATGAACTAAGGGCAATGGAAAAAATGAAGCGATTTCAGCCGTACTTTGGAGGCAGAAGTGACAAGGCTTGCCAATGCACTGAGAGTGGGAGAGAAGGAGGAATGTAGGATGACTTGGTAATTTGAGCAATTGGATGGATGGTGCGGTTATGAGCAGGAAAAGGAAGAGATCTGGAGAGAAAGAAGTCAAGAATTGAAGTTTAGACTTAAGTTTGAAATGCATACCCAGGAGACATCCAAGTGGAGACCTCAAGAAGGCAGATAGAGGAGCGCCTGGGTGGCTCAGTTGGTTAAGATGTGATTCTTGATCTCGCCTCAGGTCATGATCTCACGGTTTGTGAGATCAAACCTGCATATGCTGTATGCTGACAGTGTGGAGCCTGCCTGGGATTCTCTCTCTCCGCCTCTCCCCCACAAACATGTACACATGCTCTCTCTCTCTCTCAAAATAAACTTTAAAAAAAGAAGGTAGGGGTGCCTGGCTGACTCAGTCAGAAGAGCATGAAACTCATGATCTTGGGGTTGTGAGTTTGAGCCCCACATTGGGTGTAGAGATTACTTAAATAAAGCTTAAAAAAAAAAAAAAAGAAGGTAGATGTACAAATCAGGAGAAAAAGGGTGAGCTAAGACACAAAACTGGGGGTTGTTGGCTTATAGATGGTATTTAAAATCATGGGAATAAATGATGGGGCACGTGAGTGGCTCAGATTGTTGAGCATCCAACTTCAGCTCAGGTCATGATCTCATGGTCTGTGAGTTCAAGCCCTCCCTGGGGCTCTGTGCTGACAGCTCAGAGCCTGGAGTCTGCTTTGGGTTCTGTGTGTCCCTCTCTCTCTGCCTCCCCCTGCCCCACCCCGCTTATTCTCTTTCTCTCACTCTCAAAACTGAATAAACATTTAAAAAATAATAAAATAAAATCATGAGAATAAATGAGATCAGCTGCAGAGACAATTTAAGGTCACAAAGAGAAGAGTACCCTATAAAGGTGACACAGAAGAAGTGGCCAGAGAGCTGGAAAACCAAGAATGTGGTGTCCAGAAGCCAAGAGAAGAATGTGTTTCCACAAGAGAAGGAGAAATCAACCGTGGGGGGGGGGGG